CTCCTTCCATGCCTGTGTTAGGAGAAGCCATCTCCTGAATAGCTGTGGGGTGAGATTCTCATTTTCTTCCTAGCTATCACCTAGGGATTGTGACCCACTCTCAACAGAAGACTTTATTTCTTCACAGTCTCTGGACAAATCAGCTGCAAAGGACTTTTTTATTTTTATTATGATTTGAGCAAAAGTTTACAAAGCAAACTGGTGTTACATTCCGCCATTCATATACATTTTGATTTTTTTTTTATTATTTGAGTGAAAGTTTACAAATCATATTAGTTTTTCATTCAATCATTCATAGACATTTTGTTTTAGAGAATTAATTACAACTGATTAATGGTATTAATTCATTACACTGACTAAACAATCCCTTGGAGTTCTGATGACTTAGTGCGTTAAGAGTTGTGCTGCACTGAACAATGAGGAGTTACAGAGAGAGAGAGAGAGAAAAAAAAAAAGACCTGTGCTGCTCAGGGAGCTCTGGTGGCCTAGAGGCAAGAAGCTGCACTGCAATCCCAGTTCGAATCTACCAGCATTCTCTATGGAGAAGGAGGGACAATTTCCTCCTGTACCAGTCAGATTCGATTTAATGGTGCACACCCCAAAAAAATAATAATGAAAAACATTTAAAAAAAAAAGAGTTGTGCTGTCAACTCAAAGACAGAAGGTCGAATCTACTAGCTACACTGTAGGGAAAAGTTGGGCAGTCTTCTCCTGTGCAATTTATTTCTTCTAAAAACCTTGTGGTGAGTCACCTATGAGTCAGTTCCAACTTGTTGGTACATAAAAAACAACAAGCAGTCCCTTGTGGTCTATTGCCTTTTTTTCCCCACCCAATTTATCTATTTATTAATTTTTGTCCCTCTTTCCCTCCCTTGTGACCATCTAAGAATGATTCTACATGTAAACCTTATTGTGTGCTGTCCAGCCAGAACTGACCAATAGCTGGCCCTCCAGCGGGTTTTCAGAGGCAGTCAATGATGCTGGAGAAGATTACCCATCTTTCTCCCATGGAGCAGCTGGTGGATTTGAATTGCATGCTTTTGGGGTTGCAGTGCAGCTTCTTACCACTAGGCCACCAGAGTTCCCGGAATCTTTCCTTAGCTTTTTTAAATTTTTTTTGTGTGTGTGCCGTCAAATCAGATCTGACTGGTACAGGAGGCAATTGTTCCTCCTCCAGCAGAGCATCTCGTGGATTTGAACTGTGTACCTCTGGGATTGCAGTGCAACTTCTTGCCAGTAGGCTACCATAGCTCCCTTTATAAAGTCTTTTTCTAGTCAGCTCAGGGGGAATCTTATTTAATGTGATAGTTATACTGACATCTTATTGCCTTTGTCATGTTCTGTTAGAATATGAAGAAGCAGACCACACAGATTCTGCCAGTACTTCTTTTGTTGGATATTAGTTACTCATCAAATCCTTTCCAAAGAGCCAGATTTCATATTGTATCAGTTCTATATTTTTTTCCTGTTTTCTAATCCATGAATATTTGCTTTTGTCTTAATTATTTTCCTTTAACTTACTTCTCTTAGGGTTTTAAAAAATATTAGAGTTTATTGAGTAGACCACTTAGAGTCATCCTTGTTTCTCCGGTAGTGAAAGCATTTAAGGCTATCTTCTCGCCGGTTTTGTTCTCTTGCAGCACAGAATATGATCCCTAATTTCAGCCATTATAGAAATGATGAGGAATTTATTAAGAAACTTTCCCCCTTGCTATTTAGAATATGGTAAATTTTCATAAATATTGCATAACTTTTTAAAAGAAAGATCTGTTGTTTGTATACAGCATCTAATATATGTTCATTACCCATTTACATGAAGAAAGTACAGAGTTTTTGGTTTTGCTTTTGTAAGCTCTGATAATAAAACTTTCAGAGTCTTACGTTGAAGTAATTCTTTATGTTTATCCTTCTTGGGTTGATATTCTTCTTTGGAGCAGCTGGTGGGCTTGAACCACTGAACTTTAGAGTAATAACTGAATGTTTAATCACTGTACCGTCAGGATTCTTTTCCTTAAATAAAGATCAAACCCAATCCTGTACACCTGAGCTGATTCTAACTCACAGCAGCCCTTCATTGGGTTTCCAAGGCTATTGTCTTTCAGGAAGAGACTTCATCTTTCTTCTGTAGCTGTTGTTGTTATTTGCCATTGAGTCACTTGAGACTCATAGCAACCCTACATACAACAGCCCTAAACCCTGCTCTATCCTGTGCCAATCTCACTGTCTCCGACACACCTACCCCCATTACCCCAGTCACTGAATCAATCCACCTCGGACGTCCCTCCTTCCAACATGTCCAAAATATGTCAGACAAAGCTTCAGAATCTTTGCCTCCAAGGAGCAGCCTGGTTTAACCCTCTCTAGGATGAACCTGTTTGTTTTCTTAGCAGTCCATGGTTTACTCAATACTCTTCTCCATCACCACAACTCAAAGGCATCAATTTCCCTTCTATCATCCCTAGTCATTCTCCAGCTCTCTGACATATAGCAAGTGATTGCAAAGACCATGGCCTGTAATAGGTGTACCTTAGTCTCCAGAGTGACATCATTGCTCTTCAGTACTTTGGAGAGGTCTCTCTAACAGCAGACTTTCCCATCGCAATATGTCTTTTAATTTCCTGGCTGCTGATGCCAAGAGCATTGATTGTGGAGCCAAGCAAACTAAAGCTGTTAACAATCTCAGTCTCTTCACCATCTATCATGATGCTGCCAATTGGCCCAGTGGTGTTGTTTTTGTTATATTGAGCCTCAGTCCATATTGAATGCTGCAGTCCTTGACTTTCTGCACCAAGCGCTTCAGGTCCTCCTCAGTTTCAACAAACAGGGTTGTGTCATCTGCATAATTCAGATTGTTGATGAATAGACATCTGGCCTATACCTTAACAGACCAGCGCGCAAAACATTACATACTACAGCATCAAAGCTCCTTATCTTAGGGGTAAAGAATTCAGTCTTAGCATTAAATTGGAGCTGTGAGTTTTTGGAGGGTTAATTTTCAGATTGCTGTAGTTTCCAAGTTTGTTGACTTTTCATTATGAAGGCTTGTTGAGTTTGTTTATTTTTCTGCTTCTCTTGAGATGATTATATCAAAGTTTTTATCATATTGGGTTGGGTTGTTTAACCAAAAGGTTCAAATCCATCAGCTGTTCTGCAAAAGAAAGATAGAAAATCTTTTCCTATAAAGATTTACAGAACTGATTTGATGACAGTGAATTCTGGATATTTCATTGGTATGATGTTTTTATAATTTGTTCTGCTAAGATTTGTAGCGGACCACTTATAAGAAGTATATCAAGTCATTATTGTCCCAAATGCTTGACCTGCTATATAATAAGTCCATGATTGCCAGCATCAGCAGCTCTTCCTTTGTTCAGTTCCCTGTCTCCTCTCTGTTCCTTGGGTTTGGTGGTTCCCTGGAAGGTCTCCCAGAGACTCAGACCCATCACGGGAATGGCTCACATGATGCTAGGTATGCAGGCTGGTTTTACAGAAACTGGTGAGTGATGGGCCAGGGTCTTGTAGACTGTCAGTTGTGGCACAGCTGGATGGCAGCTGTGGGTGATTCAGGCCAGAGTTGCAGAGTCTGCTGAGTGATGGGCCAGGATCCTACAGACTGTCAACTGCGATGCAGCTGGATACTGTGTCCCAGCAGAATAAGTATCCCAAAAGAGTGACCTAACAGAGATGCCATGAATTTATATAAGCTTCTAGTAGGATGGGGCTTGTATCAATCCTAATCCTCTCTCCTTACTACAATAAATACTTCAGCACATTTTGGAATGATAAACCTTAGACACCCACATATAGTTTATGAAATTATTTTCTTTTCAACTGTTAAACCAATTATTGCATTCCTGGGATAATTCACACTTAGTATGGTAATAATAATTTTTGCATATTACTTGGTTTGCTTTTTAAAATATTTTATTGAGGATTTAAAGTCTATATTCCTAAGAGGTACTGGTCTTTCTTTCTTTCTTTTTTGTAGTTTTCTTGTGATGCCTGCCTGATTTTGGTTTCAGAAAAATACCAAATATTGCTTCATAGAATGAGCTGAGAAGGGTTGCCTCTTCTATGTTTTAGAAGAACTTGTGAAGAAATACATTAATTCTTTAAATATTTTATAGCATTTACTAGTGGAAGTGTTTGTGTTTGTGTAGGTTTGATTTTTCAAGAGAATTCTATTTCCCTAACTGTTATAATTATGTTCTAATGTTCTGGGTCTTATTGTCTGTTTTGAAAGTTTCTACCTTTACAAGATTTTATCCACTTTGCCTGCTAATTTTTTGGTATATAGTTGTTTATAGTATTCTATTCTAATTCTTTTTTAAAAGTTATTACTGTAAGATTTGTAGTAATGTCCCCTCTTTCATTCCTGATTTTAGTAATTTAAGTCTTCTCTTCTTTTTTTTACCAATCTAACTAAAGATTTCTTAATATTTTGGGGTGGGTTTTTTTTTTTCGAAGAACCAACTTTTTTACTTTGTTGGTTCTCTGTATTATTGTTTATTCCATATTTTATTATTTTTTCTCTGATTTTTATTATTTTCTTCCTTCTACTTAGGGTTTTCAACCAGCACTGTTCTCTGATGTTTTGTAATGATGTTTGTAGAACAGGATTTGTGTTCTTTCTCTCTGTGTGTGTGTGTGTTTATTCCAATACAGACAGTGATGTCTTTATGCTTTGCCTAATAATCTATGCTCAGAATTAATATTGTCACAGGATAGCTAAGATACGTTGTCAACATTTCTGTACCTTTATGGCATAAACTATATGGTAGATGAACAGATAGGTGAGTGGATGAATGGATATGCAAAACTGTCCTGGCTAATTTTTTACAAATGAGGAGGGTGCTCCATGCTGTGTTCCCAGAAGGCTTGTTTTCCTAAAACACAGTAGGAAGGTCCCATTGGCCCAGGTGGTGCTTCCTACACCTGGATCCTCACCTGCTCCCTCACAGGTCTCTGACCTAAGGTATGATAAATTGATGTCTCCCCAGGGTGTCTGTGAAGAAATGACCTATGAGGAAATTCAGGATCATTATCCACTGGAGTTTGCCCTTCGAGATCAGGACAAGTACCGGTACCGGTACCCCAAGGGAGAGGTGAGTGGAGTTCTGGGACTCAGGCCTTGCTCTCAGCCCACAGGTGCTCTCTGAGGCTGAAGACCTCTGGAATCTGCCGAGGCTGTGTAGGCAGCAGGAGCCTGGCCTTGGAGGCAGGGGGCGCTGGAGAGTATCTCACCTCCACCATAACCAGCTGCACAGCCCAGACCTCCGTCCCCTCCTTGGGCACAGAGTGGGAAGTGCTGCTTGATCCCCACTCCCCACCTGTGTTTTCCCCCTTTCCCCAGTGTGGGGACTTAAGAAGGGCAGGGCTTGAGCTGAGTGGTCCTGGCTCTGCATGGCTCAATTATGGCCCCCTATTCTCCCTACTAGGTCAGCCCCTTTCCTAGAGAGTTGTCAGCTTTTCATGGATTGTTCAATAGACCTGGGGTTGGGGACACTCCCAGAGTCCTCGTTTACCCTGTTCTGGGTCTTTGCCTTTCCTCTTGACGCTTTATTTTGTCACAAAAGGCAGTCTTGCTGTTCCCTGTGACTCCAGGCACTAAGCCTGAGTCCAGACCTGGGAACTCCTCCTCCAGATGAGGCATGGCCACCAAAAGCCACAAGTTCTCATCTTCCAAACAGAGAGAGAGAGAGGGAGATAGAGATAGAGAGAGAGAAAGAAACTCTTCCACATAGACACCCGGCTCATGGGGCTCATGGCAACTTTTCTGTACGCTCCCCAACAATGAATCTGTCTGAGCAACATCACTTATCTCCTACATCATGTTCTGATGCAGATAGAGTTCGATTCAGAACTAACCCAGGTAACAGCAAAAGGAACCAAGCACCTGGGTCTTCAAACTTAATACGTGGAAAAATTGTCAGGGGAAATGATAGTTTCCAGTAGAATTGATCTACAATTCTTTTCAGAAATACCAGGGTCAGGACACGTCAACCTACAGGCATCACTCCATAAGCAAAGCACAGATCAGATGTTCCATTCACGGGGCCTGCTGTTGAAGGAAGGCTCATCTTGTTCAGGGAACCATGGGTGCAGAGAAGGATGAAACTCAAAGACCCATGGCTTAGCCTCCTGGTGGAAATTTCTAGCCCAACCAGGCTTTGGCAGAAGTTCCAAAGTCTCTCCCTCACTGGCTGCAGCAGCCCAGGGAGGTACTGGAGGCCCTTACGCGCCTTCCTCCCACCACATCTCTGTCTGCTGTGCACCTGAGAGTATCTTTTTGACACTCATCAGTTGCCTCCATGTGAATTTCAGTTACTGAGTAGGTAAGCCTGTATGAATGGGGCATGAGAAGGCCCCTTAGCATTGAGTCATGAGGCCTCTCAGGCCTGAGCGACCAGCCCTGTGCTGGGGAAGGAGGCAAGGACTCCAAGCATAAGGGACCAGGTTGGGGTAGGGAGGTATCTTCTGGGTTTGAGTGACCCTTTCCTGTTCGTTCTTACAGTCCTATGAGGACCTGGTCCAGCGCCTGGAGCCCGTCATTATGGAGCTGGAGAGGCAGGAGAATGTTCTGGTCATCTGCCACCAGGCCGTGATGCGCTGCCTCTTGGCCTACTTCCTGGACAAGGCAGCAGGTGTGCGCCTCCCTGGGAAGGCAGGGGTGAGGGGGTGTGTGTGTGGGACTCACCCGAGCATCCCTGACATGCCAGCTCTCCTTTTCTGGTCCACAGAACAGCTGCCCTACCTCAAGTGCCCACTGCACACAGTCCTGAAGCTGACCCCCTTGGCTTACGGTAAGGAAGCTTCTTGTACTTTGACCTGAATCATCAACAGGGTTGCATAAATTTCGGCAAATCCCTTAAAAATTCAGTTAGGAGCCAACTCATCTTTCCCCTACCCCACTGCCTTCAAAAAATGTGCTTTTTGAAGGCTGCCTGTGGGTTCTGTGTGTGACCACGTCCAGTGACCATCTGCCTTCTCCCTCCCACATGAAAGGCTTATCTTTTCGTTTCTCTGAAACCCACAAGGGTCACACCACCTGAGAGCCCAGACCTGAAGAATATCCTGGGTGCAGAGTGCTTTGAATGTACCCCTACCTCTCACGAACTCAATACTCCTGCAAACCTTTGGCCTTGTCCTCTCTGACATAGTCTGCTGGACCCCGCTCTGGTCATGGTGCTGTGACGACCAGAGAACAAAGCTCACTGGTGGCCACAGAATTCCCATGTATGATAATCCTCTTGCTTTCCACAGCACTTTGCACCTGGTACCATCTGTTTCAGCAGATGATTTGCCCTCACGTATCAAGGTTTGAGGGTGGGGGTCTGGGGTCTCTGCACTTGGTGAGAGTAAGTGGCTCCATGTAGACTGCTTATGGCTCTGGGGTGACAGCTCAGAGCCTCTGGCCGTGTTTGAGTTCTCACTCCATAACATGGCTTTACTGGGGAGTCATGTGTGAATAAGGACTGGCCTGATAGGGCCGCCTTGCCCTTCCTCAAGCTGCCTCAGGAGGGAGGACCAGGGTGAAGCTGAAACACCGCTCCCTTCCGTGCCGTCCAGGCCACCTCTGAGAAAACTTTCTTCTCTCTGTACCTCCGGCTGCCTTTCAAGAGGTGGAATAGATTTGTTTCTTCTCTTTGGCAGGTTGTAAAGTCGAGTCCATATACCTGAATGTGGAGGCTGTGAACACACACCGGGACAGGCCTCAGGTAGCAATGGGGTCCCTGCAGGGGTGGTGGGAGTCTTCCCGGAATTACCCAGACACAGCCTCACTTAGGTCTGAGCCTAGCTTGATTTATCTGCCAGGCTGCTCTCTGCCAAGACCATTCTCCTAGTTTTTGTGGGACCACGGCTCTGGAGAATTGGAGAAAGCCTTGGGTTAGGGAAGTTCTTGGAGAGATTGGCCTCCAGCTGGGCCTGAACGTGGCTGTCCCTGGGCTCTCTGGTGGCCCCACTGGAGCTGAGGAGTAAGGTCTCAGTAGGGCAAAGAAACTGGAAGGCTGCAAGGGTGGAGGTGGAGATTCTCTTATGCCCCTTCCTTGTGGCCACTTGAGCATTTTTCCTGACTCACACATCCTTAACAATTAAAATAGTAATGTGCTTTGTTGGAGTCAGGGCCATGCAGATGCTGAGAGCAGTTCCTCGCCCTGTGTCCCCCAGGTGCCTTGTGCAAAGTAGAAGTTTCTCTCACTGCCCACATCCATGGTGATACCTCGCCCACTGGTGCTGAGGACACAACAACTCCCTCCTGGACCAGTTAACTGAGTCCACTGTTCAGAGCAGGCTCCCGGGCTCAGTCCTGCCTGTTGTCACTGCAGAGGGGGCCTGCTTGGGCACTGGGTTCCTGTCACTGGAACAGGCTGGAGACTGGACCAGTACATCCTGGCTGGCCTGCTGGTACCCCTGCTCCCCGACAGCCCTTTGGTTTTATCTCTGCAGGTAGATGTGGCGGTCTACCCTGGTCCTTTCAACCCGTCACTGTGCAGGCCTTCCCCATCTGCGCTGAGAGTCTAGTCTTGTCCATGTGTGATCCAGGTCCAGTCTGTACCCGTAGTCACAGGGGAAGGATGGCTCACAAAGTACTGGCCCCAGTGCTGACCGGTTGATGGTGAGAGGGGCTGCTCCTGAGGGCAGCAGCTGACAGCCATCCTGTCCACCTCTGTGCAGCCCATCTGAGAGGCACACTTCTGCTGGACAGTGTCCACAGATGGTTTCCTTGAAGCTGGGCAAGAGTCCCAAGGTCCTTTGCCTCTACGACTCACAGGGAGTGCTGGTGGCTTAGTGGTAAGGAGTTGCGCTGCCAACCCAAAATCACCTGATTCTAATCTACCAGCTGCTCTCTGGGAGAAAGATGGGCAGACTCTTCCCAAGTGATTCACTGCCTCTGAAAACCCACGGGAGGGTCAGCTATGGGTCAGTTCAAACCACACAGTACTCGACAACAACACAACTGCAATTCACTGTCAACCTTGATGATCTGTGTGGACCAAGGGGCCAGACCTCCCTGCCTACAAATCTGGGCAAGTTGTGCCACCATCCAGGTCATGGAGAGCCTCCTGCAGGTGACGAGGGTCAGGAGGATGGGCCACCAGGATGGGGGGGTTCTTGAGGGAAGTCTCAGGCCTCCTGCTTCCCACATCTGAGAGCACCTGAGTGGCAAGCTGTGGGTGGTCCTGGGCTCCAGACTGTGGCTCAGGGGTCAGACTAGGCGAAGACTAGGAAACGCAGACAGGCTCCATCCATACTCGACCACCAGCACCTCAAGCCAGGACTGCACCCTCAGGAGCTGGTCCTTCCTTTCCTGGCAAGGAGGATGTCAGCTCCTGACCAAGTGTTGCTGACCAGGTCTCTAAAACCATGTGGCTGAAGTGGGCACAGCTGTGCTCTGGTTAACACCACCCTGCCTGCTATGGGGGTGACAGATGTCCATTCTCCTTGGGCCAGCAGGGCCGCCTTCTTCAGAGGACAGGGCAGACGCCGGTGCATCTCTCACCCCAACTCTCTTGGTTGTCTGTCTGTCCCCGACGTGAAGCGGTCCTTGGTCTGGCGCTCTTCCGGGAGCTCAGGGTCTGACGTTCTGTGGCTTGGCTCTGGGGTGAGAGCATGAGCAGTGATGAAGGACACAGGAGTGACCGTTCTCCTTGTTTCTGACCACAAGATGATGTTTTTTGTCTTTGCTTTGTGCAGAACGTAGACATCTCAAGGCCACCAGAGGAAGCCCTTGTCACGGTCCCCGCTCACCAGTGACTGTGTCTCATCCGGTCTGACCCCAGGCAGGCACTGATTTCTGCAGATGAGGCCATTCCAGGCCCCAGGTCCGTGTGACAGTCATCATGCAGGAGTGTCCTTGAAGCCACGCGTGCTGGTCGTGTCTGCCACCCGCACCGCAGCCCACTTGCCTCCTCGTTAATCGTGACCGAGCTGCACGAGATCCTGACCTGCTGTTAAGAATCGTCCAGCCGGACCGCATCTGCTGCGGTGTGTAGTGAGAGATTTCCTAGCACCTGGTCTTTTTCTTGTGACTCTTAGGTGTTCTCTGTCATGAGGTTGGGCCAGCTTGCAAAGTGTGAAACCCTACAATGTGAAATGGAAAGTGCTTCAATGTCGTGCTGTTCCCGTTGCGGTTTACCTGCCGGGGGGCCAGCCCTGGTCACCCCTTACAGGGGCTTGGCTGTTGTGTCTGTGACCGTTTCCTGCACCAGAGGCAAGGCGTCACAGGACCTGGGACTTCTGCCACCTCATCCTTCCCCACCGGGGACTGAAGAAGTACCAGCCCAGGCAGATGCCTCCTGGGACAGTCACTGGTCAGGCCTTGTGTCTGCGTCACAGTCACTTGGGATGCCCAGAAAACCGAGGGGAGCAGGGTGGGCACTGTGACCACCCCTTCCCAGATGGTCATACACTGAAATATCGGGGGCACCAGTGGCCAAGGTCACCCTCCCCGCTGCTCTTGTGATGAAACCACTTAAACACAGAGCAGTCATCTGAGTTGTCCGTCCTGGTGCTCACACCGAAGTGCTCACGAAGATGCCGCCGTCCCTTTCCCGCTGTGCACGCTGAATGCGGGCATGAGGCGGCCCTTGCCTGCTGCTGTGTCCACTGTACGTTTGCCCTCTCTTCCTCAAAAATAGCTTGTCATGGACGGTACAACCTGTGCTAGTGATTGCTGGCCTCTACCTAGGGAGGGGCAGGGACAGAGCCTGGAGATAGCCCTTGGCCAAGGGAGGGTTTTCCTAAGTGAATCTCAGCTTTGGAGTCCTGAGCCTGTAAGGCCTGGCATCTGCCGTGCCCCTTTGCTCTTTTGGCCTGGAGAGGTGGGTTTAGCTCCATTATAAAGCCAGGTGAAGAGATAATGCAGGGCGGGGGCGGATGTGTGCTGGCCAGCATGTCATGGAGCTTGGTCAGAAAGTGGCAGGAGCTGTAGTCAGTTGTCCAGCTGTCTATAGGTGGACTGTGGTGAGGCCAGGCCTCAGGACCTCAGAGTCCCCAGTCCTAAAGCCCACGTTGTTCCTAGAACCTATCCTGGCTTGTTTCTGGCAGAGCAGGCCTACCTGTCCCAGCACCCCAGGGTTTGGCCACTTGTCCTGACCCCAGGCTGGGGATCTGTCCACCTCCCGTGCTGCAGCGTCAGTGGATGGACATGATGGAAAGATGCCTGAGACAGGGCAGGGTCATCCCGCAGGCCTCCTCTCAGAGCTTCGGGACTCCCTTCGCAGGGAGGGTCAGCACCCCTGGACCTGAGGGCCCCTAGTTTAGAACTGATGCCGAAGGACCAGGCCCCTGTCACTGGGACATGAGGACTGTGGCCTGTGCTTCTTTGCCTCCTGGATTGTGGTGACTTTTGGTCACCTGGGCACGCTCCCTTGTTAGCCATAACAAATCCCCTCAGTCAGCCACAGGGCACATACAACCTGTGTCACCACCTCTCCCAGGACCTCTGGCTGACTGGGGCGAGGCCACCAAAGCTTTTGTTCTGTGTGCACCGATGGTGTCTAGGGGGTCAAAGGTCACAGCATGGAAGAGGGTGGGAGGCCATCCCCCTCCCGGGCCTCTGCCCTGGAGTGGGCTCGCATGGGCAACACCACACTGGATCAGCAGGGGCTGTGCTGTGGCCACAGTGACTGATGACCTTGGGTTGCAGGCATTTTCCTGCTTCCCCTGGAAAGGATGGCATCAAACCTCAGTCACACATCACACTGTGTCCAGCATTCTTTGCAATAAATACTGTTAAACAAGCAAAGCAATTAAAGTTGTCTCTTGTTTAGTTAGTTCTCCCCCTGGAATGTACTTTCTAGCTGGTTCTGTGGACGCTCCAGGTTATTTTGAGATCCCTGCCTTAACTCTGATCCCTGGGAGAGGTATCTTTTTTGGAGAGGACATTGTCTCGCCACGAAGTGAGCCCTGGGCCTGGCACGCAGGGGGAGGGCTGACCAGGGTCTGGGTCCTCCTACCTGAGCAGGAGGCACATTTAGGGGAGGCAGATCATCTTGTAGAATATTTCTTCAGGTCCAGTGTCCTAATACAAATCAGAAAGGACAACTATGTTATTGTCACTTGAAGTTTTGTAGCATTGTGGGTTGCCACCAGATAAGATTGGGGTCTACTTTGATAGAGTGGAATAAGTTGCAAAAGCCTGGGTTTCAGCAACACTTGACTTAGATGATAATGAGTTTGAAGTAATCACTACCTCAGGGAAATGCTGCCATGACTGGGTCAGTTAATCCTTAGCTGTCCTCTGGGGCTGGATACGTTGTAGACGGAACAAACTTGTTTTTTTAAAAGGGAAAAATGCTTTGCCCCCCCCCCCCGTGCTTTATTGTTGTTAAGTGGCGTCAAGTTGAGGACACATAGTGATGCCATAAACATCAGGTCTGAATCTTGTCCTATCCTGTACCGTCCCCAAAATCTGTCTTGCTTGAGTCCATGGTTCTTAATCACTTCTTTTAGAAGTTCTTCCGCTCTTTTACCCCCAGTAAGATGAAGTTTTACCATCTTTGCTTCCAAGGAGCACTCTGGTTGCACTTCCTTCCAGATAAATGTGTTAGGTCTTTTGGCAGTCTGTGGAATATGTGATATTCTTCATCAACACCATAATATTACCATTACCACACACACACATTTCCAGCTCAGCGTAATCCCATGGGTATTACAGTAAGCATGCACTACACAGAGTCTTCTTTCCAGGCACGTCTGTGGTTCAATCTCCAGCCACTCCCTCAGTTGACCTCCCTAACCTTCTGTACCAGCCAGTGGCTCCCAATTGCCATATAGGGAGCATTGCTTTTATTATGTTAATTCAAAAGCTAAACATTAATCTCCACTTTACAGTTAGAAGAAACGGAAACTCAGAGATTGGTTATCCAGTCATTGTGTCAGATCTGGTGAGGAGCAAAGGCAGCATTCAGGTCTGGAGTCTCAGGCCACCCTAGATTCCCAGCCCGCAGGCTTCCCCAGGGTTCCCCACCGGTAGGGTTCAGGCGGGGAGGGTGGAGTGCAGCCTGTGGCTGGGAAAAATGCTTTCTGGTAGGCCTGAAATAGTCCCCACCCAAACCTAGGAATGACTGCAGTCTGTGGGGAACACCTAAAGAATAGGGCCAGTGTGAACCTGGGCCATTTACACAGGGCTCTTCTTTTAATTTATTCATATACATTGGTTCCACAGTCAACAGTCTTGGCACCAGCAGCCAGGAAATTAAAAGGCGCATTGCCATGGGAAAGTCTGCTGTTAGGGACCTCTCCAAAGTA